GAGGGACTATATTAGGGCAATGTAATGAAGTGGAAGCCATCATCACTGATTCATCGGAAAACGACTCCATTAGCAGGAAGGACTTGAAGGAAGAAATAAATGTTTGGACGCAAGGGTTAGAAGACAGGTACAAGCAAAGGGCCAGCCAACTTATCCGCAAATACTCCAACATATTTGACAAGGATGGCAACAACCCAGGCAGGACCAACGTAGTGAAACATTGCATCGATACGGGTGGCGCAAGACCGATTCGTCAAGCTCCTCGAAGCGTTCCACTAGCCAAACGTGACATTGTTATGGTAGCCTGGGGCATCATACAATAAAAAGTATCACCCCGATTATACAGTGGATATACATACATACATACGTGCAACAGAATTATTTAACCATAAAGCTGTGTCTCATTTTCAACAAATTTTGAACCGACGTTAGAAACAAACGACACTAGACAGTTTTTCATTAAAAAAACTTAGGTATGCAACAGTAAGTGCAATGGAGTTAATCAGAATCTTTTTATTTTTAAAAATAAATCATCACGTCTAATCTATAAAAGACGATACCACATGGTGTTTCACCGTCCAACTCAGGAACAAGCATGCTGAATTGAGTTTTACTTATGATAGCTTCAGCAAGAGAAACGTCTAAGTCCTTAACAGTTTTACCTAATTTTTCAGGAAAATGCCTGCCTTTGTCTGCAATTAGAAATTAGATATAATGAATACGCGTTTGCCATTTTGTAAGAATTTTTAATTAAACCTTCGAATAATGGCATTCCAGGTCGGAATTTTTTGTGGATATCACTTAAAAGAAATAAAGATTTCTTTGGATTAAGAAAGCGGAGTTGGTGTGCCATTTTCTGTAAAAAACTGCATTTTGGAACCGCATTTGAAAAAATAATATGTAAAGGAGCTCTCAGAATACCTGTTGCTAAGATAGTGAAAAATTAATTTGCTGTTTTAGAATTAAATGAGTTCTTAGTTTACTTCCATTATAATCCAACGATTTATATCTCAACTAGCAATCTAATGCACCTCCCATCAATAGCCTCCGAGTGTAAGAGGGAAACGTTGTCAGCTTTCACTGTGCTTGCATGCTTTTTAACAAATCTACAATTTTCGTCGTCGAATTTCATAAGTTATGTGATCGCCAACCCTTGAGCCCTTAATTACCATAGCAGTTTTCATTAACTTCATTTACCATTTGCCTTTGCTTACTTACTTACTTTACTGGCGTAGGCACCGCTTACGAGATTTTAGCCGGTTTAAGAATACTGCGCGATTCGTTTCTCCTTTTTGCTGTTTGGCGCCAATTGGAAACACCAAGCATAGTCAGGTCCTTCTCTACCTGGTCTTTCCAAGGAAGTGAAGGTCTTCTTCTTCCTCTGCCTCCACCGGCGGGAACTGCATCGAAAACTTTCTAAAGTGGAGTGTTCGCATCCGTCCGGACCACATGACCTAGCCAGCATAGACGCTGCTTCTTGATTCGCTGATTCAATGTCGCCCTAAGTCGTACAGCTCATCGTTCTATCGTCTGCGATATACACCGTTGCCAAAGCGTAAAACCTTTCTCTCGGAAATTCCTAACGCCGACTCATCAGATATTGTCATCCTCCATGCTTTCGCACCATATAGCAGAACGGGAACGATGAGGGACTTGTAGAGCTTGATATTCGTTCGTCGGGAGAGGACTTTACTTTTCAATTGCCTACTCAGTCCAAAGTAGCACCTATTGGCAAGAGTGACTCTTCGTTGGCTGACGTAATTATTGGTGTTAATGCTGGTTCCTAGATAGACGAAATTATCTACGACTTCAAAGTTATGACTGTCAACAATGACGTGGAAGCCAAGTCGCGAATGCGATGACTGTTTATTTGATGACAGGAGATATTTCGTCATGCCCTCGTTCACTACCAGACCCATTCGCTTCGCTTCTTTATCAAGCCTGGAGAAATCAGAACTAACGGCGCGGTTGTTAAGGCCGATAATATTAATATCATCGGCGTACGCCAGAATTTGTACAATCTTATAGAAGATTGTACCTTCTCTATTCTATTCAGCTCTGCAACTCTTTTTACTCTCTCCAGTATCAGATTGAAGAAATAACAAGACAAAGAGTCACCTTGTCTGAAACCTTGTTTGGAACCGAACAACTCGGAGAGGTCCTTCCCAATTCTGACTGCGCTTCGGGTGTTGTCTAGCATCAGCTTACACAGCCGTATAAGTTTTGCGGGGATACCAAATTCAGACATAGCGGCATAGAGACAGCTCCTATTCGTTCTGTCGAAGGCGGCTTTAAAATCGACGAAGAGGTGGTGGGTATCGATCCTCTTTTCACGGGTCTTTTTCCAGATTTATCGCATGGTGAATATCTGGTCAATGGTTGGCTTACCAGGTCTGAAGCCACACTGATAAGGAGGTCAGTTTGTTGACGGTGGGCTTCAGTATTTCACACAATATGCTTGACAGGACCTTATATGCGATGTTAAGGAGGCTTATTCCACGATAATTGGCGCAGACTGTGTGGTCCCTTTTTTAATGGATTGAGCAGAGCACACTTAAATTCCATATTCTGAAAAATAGCTGATGCATGCACCTTCTCAGCTCTTCATCGCCATTTTTGCATAGTACTGCCGGTAAGCCGTCAGCTCCCGCTGCTTTGTTTTTTAAGCGGGTGATTGCTATTTGAACTTATTTATGGTCAGGTAATGGAACGTCTTTTCCATCGTCATCGATTGAGGTTTCGGGTTCACCATCTCCGCATTCTTCATTATCACTACTATTCAGCAGGTTGGAAAAGTGTTCCCTCCATAAATGCAGTATACTCTAGGCATCGGTGGCAGGACCACCTCTTTGTGTCCTACAAGAGTCTGCTCCGGTCTGGAAAGCTTCATTAAGTCGTCGTATCTTCTCATAGAATTTTCCGGCAGTACCCTTGTCGCCCAGCCTCTCAAGCTCTTCATACTCCCGCATCTCACCCTCTTTCTTTTTTTGTTTGCAGATGCGTTTTGCTTCCTTCTTCATCTCTCCTTATCTATCCCATATATATATATTAAAAAATTTCGCTTTGATGCGGATAGATGTCACTTCTTGGATGGCGGGGATGTCAGCCTTTATTCTTATGAGGACATCAACCAGCTGGGCAGCGGCACCTTCCCAATTAAGGGACTGGATATTCCGGGTGCATGCCCTCAAATCGTGATTCGTTTGCGAGGGTCGTCAACAGAAATGGGGCGTCTCATCCGAGGCGTTGC